ATTACATTACATGTAATGTTATTATATTTAAATATTAAATTATATGTAAAATATTGTTATTTTTTTATGTTTTGAACAGGCTTACCTGTTTGCCCAACTTTTATAAAAAAAATATAGTCCAATTTTGCTTTAGAATAGATGTATTTCCTTCCAAATTTCCCATGTCTCCCATAAAGTAACATAAATTACAGAAAGTCTTACCTATTGTCTGGATGAGGCAAAGTCCCCATTTGGCCACTGAGGAACAAGCAGAGGTGACAAATTTCATTGGGGCCTGCATTTGCAAAGCTCCCACTGCTTGTAAGGTCTTTTCCCCCTTCCTATTTAAAAAGCGAGGAGTTAGGCTGGCAATAATGGATGTGGTTGCAAGTATTCATTTTATTGTTTTTAACTTTAAAATGCCATCATACTTACCCAGTGGTTATATAAAATATCTCCCACCATCTATATTTTGCCTATTAATTTATTTGATGGTTAGGAATGAAAGATTTCAGTAATTGGATGCAGAGATGAAAACACTTGATTGTTTCATCTTTTCCAGTCTGAAGCACAAAATAATTCAGCCAGCTGGGGTCCACCCCAGTCAGCTTTGTCTGAATATGATGGATTATGTTAGGCATGTATCCAGATAGTAGTGGTTGAATTTAAGGCTTGCCTGCCTTCTAAGAAAAACCAGACTTGTAGAATTTCAGAAATCTGAAATCGTGTTTCGTTTTTTTATTTTCCGTCACTCTACTGTCCTGGTTTCAGTGACATAATAATTGCATAATTTACCCCACCCGCCCCCATTTTCTGTGTGGAGAGAAGCTCTGACCCACTTATAAGCTAGAAGATTCTCTTTAGAGAGGCTGCTTGAAACTTCCATCATTTTTGAACAGAGGTTTCATTTCAGTTCATCAGAAGAAAGATTTGTGTCTCAAGTCTCAAGTTCTTCAGAAGAATCTGATGTTTACGAAAGAGATCCTGAACTCCCACTGTTTTCAGGGAAAGAAGAAAATGAAAAGAGCTGTTTACTGAAGTCTGAATAAACCCATGGAGGTGTTTTTACAGAATGTGTGTAAATTTGATATGCATTTGTGTCTAGTTACAATAATGCAATTCTGTAGGGTTCCTGGGTATTTGTAAGCTGCTGGTGTTATTACTTTAAGAGACCGGAGCTTCCCTCCAGTCTGAGTTATTGATTATTTCATTATTTCCCATGACAGAAAGGGTCATTTATTATAGGCTTTACACGGGTTACATACAGCACAGACAACAAGGTCATAAGGCACCGCACCGATCCCTCAGACTAAGACCTAAAGTGATAGTTTTCCAGGCATCTGTCAGCCAGGGGTGAACTGATATGCGGGGAGGGAGGGCTCAAAATGACCTCTGCTTCCCAGTGCTTGAACAGATGGGAAATTGCATCTCAGACAGATTGCAAAGAGGGAAATTATATTTGGATTTGCAACTGGCAAACTGAATTCATGTTTCCTTTTTGGAAAAGTTGGAGGTGGCTTCATCAAACCAAATTAGGACAGCAATTTCAAGGGAATATCTCCAAATATCCCAAGATTCCCCCCAAATAGACCTCACAACTCCCACTCATACATAAAACCCACTCATACATCAAGATCATTACTATGTATTGCAGAACCTATATATGTACTAAGTCTTCCAGATCTTCCAGACAAAACAACCCATATTTATTTGTTTGTTTATATGCGCATTTACACACACACACATACACACAAACACACACACACAGACACACCATACCTTCAAGTCAGTTTTGATTCCTGACAAATGCCTAGACAAGTCTCTGCAGTTTTCCTGGAAAGATTTTCAGAAGTTGTTTACCATTGCCTCTTTCCTAGAGCTGAGACAGAGAGGCTGGCATATTACATATTACAACAGCAGCGAGAATAATATATGCACAGAATTGGAAGAATAACAATATACCATCAGAAGAAAACGTGATAAGGAAAGTTTTAGAGTGCCCAGGGATGGATAGACTCACAAAAGAATTGCAAGATAAGGGAGAAACAGAGTACTATATGGTATGGAGTAAATGGTATGAATAGTTAGAGGATAGGTGTAAAGGGTAAGGAAAGATTAAATGAAGAAGATATAGGAGTTAGAACTTAGTAACAAACTCATAGAAATGGAAAGGACACATAATATATGATTGTATTTTAGTATATTGATATATTAATATGTATAAATAAATAATAGAACCACATCTATAGATAAAGGTAAATTGAAGTAAGTGGGAAAAGGGATATATAAGAGATGTATACTGATGTGGAAATGTTGTAAAGTAGAAAATTGTCAATTTTTTTTAAAAAAAAATCTGTTTAATAAAAATTATTTTTTTTAAAAAAAAGAGAGAGAGAGAGAACTTGGCCCAAGATTACCCAGTTGGCTTGGTGCCTAAAGCAGAACTACAACTCAAAGTCTTCCAATTTCTAGCCCAACACATTAACCATCGCAGCAAACTCTCTCTCTAAATGCTTGTTTACTCAGGATTTTATTTTATTTTTTTAAAAAAAACCTCTGTGCAAGTTGTATAAAAACTTGTAAGTAGGACATGTTTGCTTCTGTGTTGTTCTAATCTAAGCTGTATGGGCATATCTCACTTGGATCTGCATTCATTTTATAATCCCCTGCAGTGCAACCCTTTCTGTTCCATTGTAAAAATGGAGCATTTTTGTGCTTTACTTGCATTTTCACATTATTAGAAAAAAACCTTTCTGACACAGAGTATGTGTAAGGTTGGTTTTTTAAAAAAACATTACATTTATTTGGTCCCTTGACATTCTTGAATAAGACCTTCCTTTCATTTCTTTGGCTGTTTCTAAATTTAGCACCAGCAGCAATGCTTCTAATGAAATCCAGTGGGGTCGCCAGGGCAACAGCTGATCGTAAATCATTTTTCAGAGCAGCACAACTGGGGCACAATCTGAATCGGCAGAAACCATGCACAACCCTTCATTCCGAAGCTTACATGGAAACAGCACTGAAGATTAAGTTCCCAATCCTTTAATATCCCTTTTAGATATTCTCCCAATGTTTGCTGAAGTTCTCTACCTGCACCTAATCACAGCACTACCTTACCCTAGCGATGACTTTTACATAAACAAATCACCACCCCGTGAGCAAGACAAGCTGAAATTGCCATAAGCTGAGCTGATGTTAAAATGATATTGTCTTTATTCTGACACTATCCAAGGACAGTCACAAGGTGGATAAAATATATCCCCCATTCTACTACAAGGAAATCAGGGTGCCTGAAATTGACTTGAAATAAAAGCAATAAAGGCAGGATAGATGTTGGCAGTGGAGGTAGCAAGTTCCTGCTAAAAACGTTGGCACAAGGATGGGTGGACAGCAGCAGGGAAAGTTCCAAGATAGGGCATTAAGATTTGGGGGAAAGGCTCAGCTTCCCAACTGCTGGTTGAAAGGGGGTGAATTTACCACATTTAAAAATAAGGGAAGTAATACACATTGATATCTACACAGCATCTCCCCCAAGAAGATAATTATATTCAGAATTTAAAATATTCTCAATGATTTTAATGAAACAGATCCAACACAGTAGGAAGAACAGCTCTTTTAAACAACAACCACCTTTGTTTTAAAAATAAAAATAAAAATTCAAAAAAACAACAACCTTGAACTACAATAAAGTCAGAGACTATCTCCAAATGTCTCCCCATGAGCACAAATGCCAAACACAGATAAGCTATTGTTTAGTTATCTCTCTTTTGATCACCATTTGTTCAAGAGAATAAATACAAGGCAGCTGTGATAGCAGAGAGGTCGAGAAGGACAAGACAAGCAGGGAAAAGCCTGAGGATATTCCATCATTATCTGCCTATGGATTTGGACAGAATAGGACAGAATTGGCAGTATCCAGGTTTTAAACTGCAACTCCTGAACCATCAAAAACAGAAACACTATATATGTAAAGGTTTCCCTGTCCAGTCATGTCTGATTCTAGGGTGCAGTGCTCATCTCTGTTTTTTGGCCAAGGGAGCCAGTGTTGTTCGAAGACATTTTTCATGGTCATGTGGCCAGCATGGCTATATGCCAAAGGAGCATGGAATGCTGTTACTTTCCCACTGAAGTGGGACCTATTAATCTACTTGCATTTTCATGCTTTCGGACTGCTAGGTGGGCAGGAGCTGGGGCAGGAACGGGAGCTCACCCCACTGTGCGGTGCTCGGGTCTCGAACCGAGGCTGCAGCTGACAAGCTCAGCATTTTTTAACCACTGAGCCATCGTGCCACCTACAATATAATGTGCTGTAACAGAAAATAGAAACTCATAATTGAACAGTGTCTGTTTTGACACTCATTATTCAATGCTCAGTGCCGGCAATACACACAATTCTGGCACTGGGGAGAAGAAGCAAAGGAGCATAGAAATTTCTCATGTTGATATGCACTTAGTTGCAAGAAGAAGGCAGATGAAAGTGGGCTAATTTCAGACTTTCCCTCCCCCCACCCCCGCTTCATAGGCTGTAATCAGCCTAGAGGCAGGCAGCACAATGACTGACACAGTTTTGACCTCATCGATTTTTCCCACATTGCCAAACTGCATAGACCTGGCTAGAGGATGCTTTATTGATCCTGTTAATTCTTCAGGGTGTGTATGTATGGGGGTGGGGGTGGGAGAGTGGTTCATAACATATATGCTGCACAATTTTCCAAAGGCTTTGATGGAGCTAAATCAGCAGGCCAAAAGTGTAAAGAAGGCTCTGATAAATGTATGCCTTTGAATATAGAAATGCATTTTCTGCAGGCCAGAAAAGGAAACTGATGATAGCTGCAGACCCAGTAGAGATTACTGTGTTCAGAGTCATCTGAATTGATTCATGTTGACTGGGGATTGGCAATTGTTTTTGGCCCCACAGCTACACTTGATCTTTGAACCATGTGTTTTGACAGGACCAGGACAAAAGTTAAATTTGATTAAATGTAATTTAATTTTAGGTGGTTAATATAATTATCAGATTGTATAAACAAGGGAAAGAGCTCCATCCATGTGGAGAAGATTGGGAGCGACTTCTGAAGCAGCTGTGTCATACAAGCCTCACAAAAGATGCCATTGCTTTAGGGATTTGACTAGGTGAGTTTTATTTATGGTAACACATGCAATAAAGTGTCTCTCTTTGGAATGTTTTACAGTCATATCCTCCCTAATTCCTTTCTCCTGTCCCATTAGTGGCCGGTTTTGAAAATCTTTTGTGGTTTCATCCAGTTTTGAAAAACTACATCTGATCCCTGTACCTGATTTTCTGCTCTATCCATCTCTTTCAAAGATCCCAGGCTGCCTATGATAGTTTTCTTAATGACTTTTTGTAACACAGTGTTGTTATTTTTCTCCTTGTAGCGAGAAGTGAAAAGATCAGGATGTGTTCAATTAGAAGCACTTACTTGAGGCAATCATCTTAGGTAGCTGATTTTCTCCAGCTACATGTTATTTATTTGATTACCTGTCGTTGTTTTTTAAATTACCTACTGACTAAGTGATGAGCACGTACAGAATAAAACACAGGACATAATTAAAGGGTTATGAATAAAATCACTGGAAAATGTCAGTATAACATTTTTACAGATGGGACTTGATGAAGAGGGATACCTCCATTTAAGAGACATGGCAAGGAGGGACATTCAAGAGGCAAGGAAGGAAAACCAGGTAAACAGAAGAGGCAGAACCTGGACCATAAAACTCCAGATGAAATATTGACAAGTTCATGGAAACATTACTGTGGGAACAAACCATTATATAGTTCATTCTGCCCATGATAATTACTGTAGCTGGGGAAGTTGTGGGCAGTTTTGTGCATGTAGGCAGAGGCAGCCATTTTTCTGTGGAATTCTATAAGTAACACCTAAGACAGAAAGCCAAAGGCCTTCAGCCTTAGTCTTTGTAATTCACTGCAGCTTTCAATTCGTAGTAGTGTGAAGCCACATTGTGGAGAGGCTTATCTTCTAATTATTTATTATTTTGATAAAAATGGGAAGGGGGTGGTGGTAATGCAGTTACATTTATCTAACCAACAAGACACTTGCTTTTGTCCATGTTTAGATGTCTGTCTAGATTTTGTTGAACTGCATTGCAATATTCTCAGTGAGAATGAGGTCAAGATATTTTGTTGCTTGCAATAGACTAGATGTCGCCTGTTCCTCTTTCTCTGATTAGAAATTGACTGAACTAGTAGTTTTCTCTTACTTTAATATTGTGATGAAAAAGCGATTTCTATGGAAGACAGAAGGCTGACTGAAAGAGTTTGAGCAAGTCATGGAAATTATTCTCTCTGATGATAAAACTAGTCCTGGAATGTGTATTTAGATGTGCCTCTCCTTCTGTATTTGCCTCAGTTAGTCAATTACAATTGAAGAAAGTATGGAAGTATTAGATAGCCTGCTGCTCTAGCATTCAAGTACTTGCCTTCTTTGCAAAACAGTGCAAAAATCTAAACAGTTTCTGTTCTTAATATCTATTATTAAATTCTTTGAGGTTTTTCTCCAGCATTAAATATGCTAGGCAGAGAACAATGGGACAAGACAATAGAAGAAATACTCCCCACCCTCACATGTAAGAAAGCAATCTGAATTCATCTGGTTGGCCACCGACGCCAAATGCAGAATGAAAGGCACTTTGGCCTTGATCTAACTTTTCAAGAACATTTTCAGTGGAGCATTAGCCTGAAGCAAGAACAGAAAAGGGGATTTTGCAAATCATCTTTATTGCTACTGCATCACACCAGTTTGCGCACGTACTTTTGGGGAACCAGACTGTGTTAAAAGTGATTCTGAAAGATCTTATAAATTTTCCACTGTAACTTTTTTTTTTCAGCACCTGTGGCTTGAATTCTTCTGCTTCTTAACATGCGATAGTTGTTTTCAGACTTACAGAAAACATTTCAAAATAACAGAATAACAGAGTTGAAGGGGCCTTGGAGGTCTTTTAGCACATCCCCCTACTCAGGCAGGAGACTCTATACCATTCCAGACAAGTGGCTGTCCAGTCTCTTCTTAAAAGCCTCCAGTATTGGACCGCCCACAATTTCTGGAGGCAAGTCGTTCCACTGATTAATAGTTCTGTCAACAATTTTTTCCTTAGTTCTAGGTTGCTTCTCTTCTTGATTAGTTTCCATCCATTGTTTTTTGTCCTGCCTTCAGGTACTTTGGAGAATAGGTTGACCCCCTCTTTTTTGTGGCAGCCTCTTAGATATTGGAACACTTCTATCATGTCACCCCTAGTCCTTTTTTTCATTAAACAGGACATAACTGTTCTTCATAAGTTTTAACCTCCAGCCCCCTAATCATTTTTGTTGCTCTACTCTGCACTTTTTCCAGAATCTCAATATTTTTTTTATATTGTGGTGATCAAAACTGGATGCCGAATTCCAAGTGTGGTCTTACCAAGGCCTTATAAAATGGTACTAATACTTCATATGATCTTGTTCTATCTCTCTGTTAATGCAACCTAGGACTGTTGCTGATTTATTCCAATGATTTAGGTCTGTTGTTTTGCCTGGACAATCTTGCTAATATGTTTAGTGAATTGTTTCTTTACAGTTGGTGGCTGATGCACACAAAAAAAATCTGTCACTAGGAAGCCATTTTAAAACTGTTCTATCTTGCACTTGTTTTATTCTGAAAAAAAGCAATGGAATATTTCTATCTGGAGATTTGCAACTACAGGAATTACAATCTCCATGTCAGTGTGACAAGACGTGACTCAAAGTGGCTGGCTGGAGAAAGACAGACAATGTAAAGAGCAGACTGAGCCTTCATCTATGGCAGGGCACCACTTTCCATATATTTAGCATGATGATGAATGAGGTGACAGGATAAAAGGGGTCATTATTTTAACTGAATGAAAAGATGAAACTGAGAAGGTGAGGTCCTTCTTTTCTGTGCCTCTCCTCTGAGCAATGAACAATTTCAGGGGACCTTTTCACAAGTCATCAGATAGCTTAGAAGGAAACAAATGGTCTTTTGTGTGCTACTATTTACAGGCACTCCTTGACTTACAACCACAATCCAGCCCAAACCTTCCATTGCTAAGCGAGACAGTTGCTAAGTGAGTTTTGTCCCATTTTACAACCTTTCTTGCCAGAGTTGTTAATCACTGAATTGATTAACAGTGTGAATCACTGCAGTTGTTCAGTAAGTTACATGGTTGTTAAGTGAATCTAGCTTCTCCGTTGACTGCTTGTCAGAAGGCTGCAAAAAACATGACCCCGGGACTTTGCAATCATCATAAATACATGCCAGTTGCCAAGCAACCGAATTTTGATTATGTGATGATGGGAATGCTGCAACAGTTGTAAGTGTGAAAAATGGACATAAATCATTTTTTTCAGTTTCAGTTGTAACTTTGAATGGTCACGAAATGAATGGCTGTAAGTCGAGAACTACCCATATCTATTCTAATTCTATAACTTATTCACCAAAACATTTCTAACAGAAAGTTCTCACATAATTTGGACATGAGTTGAGTAATCTAATAGGGCACACTAGCCTTTTCCTTTCAGACAAGTGCAACCCTTCCCAGTTGCACTAATATTACATTTCATCATAGTCTCACTCATGGACACTTGCTTTCTCTGTCCTTCTGGTGCTCTTTTTTCTCAAAAGCCAGTCCTCCCCCCCCACCACCCGTTTTGAGAAGAGTTCTTTGAGGGATTGGTGGCTTCTGCATCCTGCCAATTTTAATATATTTAGAGCTGTAATCCAATCAGATTCGCTGTTGGAATGCTCCTGAGGAAGGTCCAGCATTTACCTATACTATTATTATGATTAAGTCAAACTGGTAAGAATACATGTGGAGACTGTGTAACTCACCAAGGTTCATTCCAAGCACATAATTTATCTATTTGCTAAACTGTAATCCACATCAAACATTTCATCTGCTGTACTACCCAGATCTATGTTCTTTATTCATAAAAATGTAGTCTTCTGTTTCTACTCCAGGTATCAATGGACTTTCAAAATCCCAAATCTTGTACTTCTGGTAAGTTGAAGTAGTTTGGTATTTTTAGAAATACCAAGAACTGAGCTTGAGTTAGGACTTTCCCATGAGTTGACTCTCCACTATATTATGCTTTAGTCCATTTTGAATCACCAGGATGATCTTAGAGAGATACTCCCAGAGATAGTCCTACAACTAGGGGAAAAATGAGCCCTTTCTTGATCCATGTTGCTGGGAATTTTCCCTTGCGCAGATGCAAGCTTTCTTTCATTGCAGTGCCCAGATTTTTTGCAAGCCAAGATCCCACCTTTGCATCAGGAGGAAGTGATTGTTATGGCCCATCGGCTGCCAGCAGAGCTAGCAGCAGAGTCAGACGAGGAGAAGAAAGTGGAAAGAGAGTCTAGGACAGCTTCGAAGCCTTTGGAAGGCTCTGATAAGAAACAGCATCAGACAGAGGCAGAGCCGGGGCCTTCTGTCCTCCCCAAGGTGGAGAGGCAGCTGTCTTTGGGGCCTGAGCTGAGTGAGGGGGAGGAACAGATGGGCCGTATGCACAGAGAGGAAAGGAGAGGACTGCAAAGAAAAACAATAAGCTGGCTCTCAAGGAAAAGCAGACATGGACACTAGCCAGCCCCTCCCTGGCTGGGAAAGCCTCGGTGGTGCAGCGGACTAAAGTGCTATTGAGTGCTAGCACTTAGCTGCCAGCGGCCTGCAATTAGTGCAAGTTCCAATCTCACCAGGCTCAAGGTTGAGTCAGCCTTCCATCCTTTTGAGATAGGTAAATTGAGGACCCGGATTGTGGGGGCAATAAGCCAACTTTGTATAGAACAACACTGCTTAGGGCCCCCCAAAAGCCCTAATAAGCAGGTATATACAAAAAAGTATGCAGGCTATTGCTTTAATGCATTGTAAGCCGCCCTGAGTCTACGGAGAAGGGAGGCATATAAATTGGACAAATAAATAAATAAATAAATAAATAAATAAATAAATAAATAAATAAATAGTAGGGGTTTGGGAGTGGCCAGTTGTCGCAGACAACTGCTCGTTTTTAGGATACAGCAAGCAATTAGGATTTCTTGGCCAGAACCAGGTCTGCTGGGACTAATTATGTATAGTTTTCGTTTATTCACGTGAATAAAAGACTG